ATACCTAAGGGCCAACTTCTATGCAAACACCTGAACAACAAACTCACACTAGAAAAAAGTCACCAAACACCCCCATGGACAACACCTTGCTCTAGAATAGATTCGCTGAACAAATAGTGTTGCATCGAAACCACCCTGCTCCATGTCCGGAGCACCTTCAAAAAAAAAAAAAAAACCCACAAGGTCGGAACACAACTTATTATCCTATCCAAACACTGAACACACCTGTTGCAAAACTCCTAAGATGACGATCCAAACACCGAACAACCACTGAGACATCTCCATACATCTGGATGAAGTTCACCCCTCAAACTGCCACTCGAAGAGGAGCGTTCGAATGAAAACCAAACAGATTTTGATCTTCTTCGACACCCATGTTTCCCCCCAAACAAAGCATCGATACTTGTCCATAAATCTGAACCAGAGTTCACCCCTCAAGCTCATACTCGCAAAAGAGCGCTCGAATGAAGATCCTAACCATATCTGGACGTCCTTTATGCCGGTCCAACACCAACCTCCTCCTCTATATTGACTCTTGTTCCAGGCATTTTTGATGAAAACAACACACCACTACCCCAATGAATCATCTATAGCGGGCACCGAAGCACCAAAAAATAAGATCTACAACAGCAAACAAAGCACACCTAGGTGGGAAAATAATGGGGGAATCGAGTTTATTAAAGGGGAAACTAACAAACAAACACAAGAAAGAGCTGGGCCAGCCGACTACCAGAGCCAAAGGCGGCGGCCGGCCGGCCCAAAATAAGGCTTGGGGAGGAGGTTTTTAGAGAGAAGAGAGAGAGAAAGAAAGAGAGTGAGAGAGTGAGAGAGAGAGAGAGAGAGTGACACTATTAACTCTTTATCTTCAAAAGGGTTATATTTGTAAGATTTTCATGGTTGTAGAGTGGTTCATGTACACTAATTTTGCAACTCTAAGAATTCAATTGAAATTTGCAGTTAGTTGTAAAATTTCACTAACTATACTGAAAAATTCATTGACGTTTAGGCATAAATAATGTTTAATTGATTCATTGTTTGAGGATAGCAATTTTTGTAAAAATTATATACATATATATATATATATATTTAAAATAAAAAAAAAAAGAGGCCCATGTACACCAATTTTGCAACTCTAAGAACTCAATTGAAATTTGCAGTTAGTTATAAAATTTCACTAATTATGATGAAAAATTCACTGATGTTTAGGCATAAATAATGTTTAACTGATTCATTGTTTGAGGATAGCAATTTCTGTAAAAATTATTATTATTTTTTTTTTTGAAAAAAAAGAATGGTCCATGTACACCAATTTTGCAACTCTAAGAACTCAATTGAAATTTGCTTGTAAAATTTCACTACCTATAATGAAAAATTCACTTATGTTTAGGCATAAATAATGTTCAACTAATTCATAGTTTGAGGATAGCAATTTTTGTAAAAATTATATGTTAAAAAAAAAAAAAAAAAAGAAGAGTGGTTCATGTATGCCAATTTTGCAACTCTAAGAACTCAACTGAAATTTGTAGTCAGTTATAAAATTTCACTAACTATAATGAAAAATTCGCTAACGTTTTAGGTATAAATAATGTTCAACTAACTCATTGTTTGAGTATAGCAATTTTTTTAAAATGTACCTTTTTTATTTTTAAATTTTATAAAAAAGAGTGGTTCATGTACACTAATTTTGCAACTCCAAGAACTCAATTGAAATTTGCAGTCAGTTATAAATTTCACTAACTATAATGAAAAATTCGCTGACGTTTAGGCATAAATAATGTTCAATTGACTCATTGTTTGAGCACTACAACAAAAAGCAGTTTTGGCCACCAAAAATGTAAATTTCGTCGCTGAAAGTAGGACAATTGGCGACTAAAATTGAATTAGTAGCCAAAAGTGAAGACTTTTGGCGACTAAAACAGTTTAGTAGCCAAATGTGTACTTATTGGCGACTAAAAATCAGATTAGTCGCTGATTACATGGGTTTTAGCGACTAAAACAATTTTAGTAGCCAAAGGTGAAGGTTTTTGGCGACTAAAAAAGATTAGTAGCCAAAAGTATAGGCTTTGGCGACTAAAAAATGGTTTGGTCGCCGATTGTAGGTGTTTTACCGACAAAAAAAATGTTGTAGCCAAATGTAAAGGTTTTTTGCTACTAAACAATTTTTAGTAGCTAAAAGTGGACAATTGGCGACTAAGATTGAGTTTAGTCGGCAAAAGTGACGATTTTGGCGACTAAAAATCAGTTTAGTCGCCGAAAGTGGTTATTTTTAGACAGAAATTAAATTTTTTAGCGACTAAATTATTTGTAGTAGCCAAAACTAAGGTTTTTGGCGACTAAAAAAAACTTTAGTCGCCAAAAGTGGCTCCTTTTTTTTTAATAATTAATTTATTTTTTACATAAATTAATATTGAATAAAAAGAATTATATTTATATATATAGTTTTAAATTAATACGGGTCAATATACTATATAAATAATATATATTGCATATATATTCATGTGATCTTGTGGTGGCATAGTGGAGGGAGTGTGTTGGTAAAGGTCTACAAAGTAGAAGGTTTGTGGTTTGAATCTCAAAAAAAGCAAAAAAGTTGGTAAATTTTCCGTTTTCACGGAAGCACCTTTGGCGACTGAAATTATTTAGCCAAAAGTATAGGCTTTGGCGACTAAAAAATGGTTTGGTCACCAATTGTAGGTGTTTTACTGACAAAAAAAATGTTGTAGCCAAATGTAAAGGTTTTTGGCTACTAAAAAATTTTTAATAGCTAAAAGTGGACAATTGGTGACTAAAATTGAGTTTAGTCGGCAAAAGTGACGATTTTGGCGACTAAAAATCAGTTTAGTCGCCGAAAGTGGTTATTTTTAGACAGAAATTAAATTTTTTAGCGACTAAATTATTTGTAGTAGCCAAAACTAAGGTTTTTGGCGACTAAAAAAAACTTTAGTCGCCAAAAGTGGCTCCTTTTTTTTTAATAATTAATTTATTTTTTACATAAATTAATATTGAATAAAAAGAATTATATTTATATATATTGTTTTAAATTAATACGGGTCAATATACTATATAAATAATATATATTGCATATATATTCATGTGATCTTGTGGTGGCATAGTGGAGGGAGTGTGTTGGTAAAGGTCTACAAAGTAGAAGGTTCGTGGTTTGAATCTCAAAAAAAGCAAAAAAGTTGGTAAATTTTTTTTTTTCACGGAAGCACCTTTGGCGACTGAAATTATTAGTCGCCAAAAGTCTTTATTTTGGTGACTAAATGGATTAGTCGGTGATTCAGTGAGTATTGGCGACTAAAGGATTAGTCGCTAAATGTATAATTTTGAAAAGTGTAAATCACTATTAGCGACTAAAATGTTGGTCGCAAAAGAGCTGCTTTTTGGCTACTAAAAAAGTTTTAGTCGCCAATACCTCTGCCGACCATCTATACGCGACAAAACCAGCGACTAAAAAAATTAGTTGGGGAAAGTAAAAAGTCGACTTTTGGCGACTAAAAATTTAGTCGCCAAATGTGCTTTTTCTTGTAATGGAGGTTAGCAATTTTTGTAAAAATTATGTATTTTTTATATTTTTTATTTATTTTTTTATAAAGAAAGAGTGGTTCATGTACACCAATTTTGCAACTCTAAAAACTCAATTGAGATTTGCGGTCAGTATAATGAAAAATTTACTGACGTTTAGGCATAAATAGACTCATTATTGGAGGATAACAATTCTGTAACAATTGCGTATTTTTTAAATAAAAAAAAATTATATTCATTATAGGTTAAAAATTTCTAAAATAGATTCATTATATTCATTGACGGTTAATTTCTAAAATAGCAGATTTATGAAAAACCTAAATTTGAATAAAAAAAGTTATTAGATTTTCTAAGTTTTCAAAATAATTTAAAAGGAAAAAAGCATTGAAATTTTAGTTATGTCTTAGTGTATTTTGGTTAAAAATTTGACCTCTAAAATATTAGACGACTGCAAACTTTGGATAAATTAAACTTTGCTCCCTTATGTTTGACTATTTTTTTCATTTTGGTCATTCATGTTTCAAGATATTTTTTTTTATCAATTTACTTTTAAAGCTAAATTGTGTTCAAAATTAAATAGAAAATATCATGTTAGCTGTCATATGACATAAAAAATATATTATTATAAAATAATGTTATACACAACGTCATTTCTTATTTTCTCACTTTTAGATACAAAACAATAGGACCCACATTCATAAATGTGTAAGGGAACCACCCAATTGTATTTTTGATTGAGAAAATGAGGTAAAAAATATGATTATATGTAGTATTTTTATTATATAAGGTTTGGATTTCTGTTAAAGGTGTAAGTTATATACAATAAATTATTTTTATGTCATGTGATTATCAATAAGTTATTTTTTTGTCTAATTTTGGATATAAGTTAGCTTTTGGATAAATTGGGAAAAACTTTAAATATGAAAAAAAAAAATTAATGACCAAAATAAAAAAAATGACCAAACAAAAAGCAGACAAAGTATAATTTACCCTATAAACTTATAATGAGGGAACTATCACGGAGTCTCCTTTGAAAATTGCCATTGTTATGCCATTTTTGTATTAATCTTGTCAAACTTTTTTTTTAGTCGTAATTATTTAAATGAAATTGGCTTGGTAGGATGTACGTTGAAGTTTGCAATAATAACGAAATTGCAAAGGACTAGAGAAGGCACTATGTTTTTATTTTATTTTTTTAGTAGTAAATTGATTTTCTAATTTGTTTATAATTAAAAGAATCTTGATGAATGAAGATTGCATTTGATTTCAAATTTTTACTTTTCTATGTTAGTATCTGCAAGAAATTTTACAATATATATATATATATATATAAAACATAAATCAATCACACAAAGATATGTAGAACACTCATGGGTGTGGAATAGAACTCTTCCAAAATTAAATGTTGTGATAACATAAAAAAAATAAGAAGCTACTGACAAGCTTAATTTGTTGCTAGTAAAACTTACCAATGGCAGGTAAACATTGTACAAATTGATTATTATAAAATATAAATTGCTTCATACAATAGACATTAATTATTTTCCCATATAAGGATAAATTACCATTGGAAATGAAATGAAAAATGGTGCTAAACCTTAGTCAAACGCTATAATTAGACCTAAAATATAATTGAAAAACAAAAACAAAAAAATAAATAGAGGCCTTGGAACAAGCAGAAAACAATGTTGATTATAGTAGAACAGGGAAAAAAAAAAAAGGTGTAATAGTTATTGAAGAAGTGTTGTAGAATTGGGGAGAGGAGTCCCAGCCAGGAAGTGCATAATAAGTGAAAGTGCCCTTGCAGGCTGGTAGCTTGGAACCAGGTGCCCTGCTCCTCTTACTGTTGCAAATGTCAGGTCCCCCTTGTATACTTCAGTGTACCCACCAACCTAATCATACACACACACACACACACACAAATACAAACAATATCACATGGGAAAGCAATTTTCTTTTTTCTTTTGTTTTCTATTGAGAAAAATTCTATAATACACATTTTAAAAAAGGATGTATCATATGCCTAATTACGATTATATTGTGGTTTTTAGTTATGATCAATTGTGGTATTTGTTATAATTTAGTTATGACTCATTATAGTGCCGGTTATGATTTAAATATGATGTATTATAATTGTTACTTTGGTTACGACAGAGGTTTTTGATTATGCCTCAAGTGGTGTTTGGTTATTACTTATTTTTGTGTTGGTTTTGACTTATTATGACGCTAGTTTATGATCTATTATGGTTATTATTTAGTTATGACCGAAGACATCTTTGATTATATCTAGTGGTATTTGGTTTTGTCTCGTCGTCTGTTTTTTAGTTATGACATAAAGTGATTTAGTTATGATATTTGTGGTATCAACACTACAAATAGTTATAACTTGTATATGATCCACACACACAAAAAAAAAAAAAGTGTATTGTAGAAGAACCCATTTTTTTTTTAATAATTTTTTACAGTTTTGTTTAGGCTTTGTTTGATCTTGAGTTTTTAGAGAAATTTGTATCCAAGCCCTGCTTTTTCCCAATGTATTAGCATTCAACATTGCTTGGTAACCTAAATTTTCATGGCCCGAATAGCTCGAATGTCTCAAAACGACGTCGTTGTGGAGGTAAAAAGACATTGTTTTGATATATTCGAGTTATTCCGACCACATAAATTCGAGTTACCAAGCATTTTTCATTATCATTTAGCAGGGAGAAACTTGTGAGTCCCACGACACTAACACAAAGTGTCTACTGTGATGCCCAAAAACCTCTCAACAGAGTATTGGAGTCTAGTTGATTGAAGAAAAATTTATTTCTTTTGTTCTTTGTTTTTTCTCTTAACAAATTCATAGTATAAAAACAACTTTAATGAATTTGGGACATATAAAACTACAAAAGGAATTTGTGATATACATGCATTTCCTTTTTAAAAAGCACAACCTTTTTTGCTTTTTTGTTTTTTTGTTTTTGTTTTGTTTTTGAACCTCCTTTTTCTCTTTGCCTGATGATGAAGTACCCCCAAAGTCTTGTAATCTTTATGCCCCAAGTTTTGAATTCTCAATCTCTCAAATCAGGTTTCACATGCTCACATAATTGGTGGGGTGATTGAGAGTTACTTAAAAGAACCAGTTTTTTATTTATTTGTTTATTTATTTTTATTTTTAAATCATGAGATTAAATATTTAAATTTTGAAATTTGTTAAAAATAAAAGAAAAACAGAGAAGAGAAGGAAGAAAAGAAGTACCTCCTACTTCATTTCTCTCTACCCTTTCCTTCTATTTTTGCCCTATAAATTCTTTCACAAATTAAATATCCGAACACTTTCCTTAAAGTTGTTTGACAAAATTGCTTTGGGACAAAATTCGGCTACTCAACTTACACCCAAAAAAAACAAAAAAACTAACCTAATCTCAAAACTAAAGTCCATTTCCAATAGGAAGTTCTTGTGAGCCCACATGCGATTCTTAATCATTTTAAACAGTCCTTCCTCCATATTATATTATCATTAACACAACGACCACAAATGAAATTAATTATAAAAAATAAAAAATTGAAAACGAAAACAAAATATAAAATAAAGTAAATTAATTACCTCTCCATTGAGATACCAAGGATGCCATGGAGTCTTAAGATGAAGCTTCATCTTATTAATAGAATACTTGGTTGAAGTCACTGGTACCCTTCCATCTACGTCACCGCTGCAACCAACCAACAGAAATGTACTCAATAATTTAGATTTTCACTATATACAAAAATAATGAAGATATAGTCTTATTGTTTCAATGTGTCATTCATAACAATTTGACTATTTTAATTTATAATAACGTTATATAAAAGTTATGCAATACAATGTTTGGATTTGCTAAAATAACAAGAAAACAAAAACAAGCAAATGAAATTAATTATATATGTTATTTTTTTAGAAAAACTGTATACTCTAGGCACTCCAAGAAAGATACCATATATATGCCATTCCATTTTTAATCATTAAATCTAAAAAATAAATAGTCATATTAAATCATAATTAAAACTAATTTGAGTTATAGCTAAAGATTATTGTAATTGTAACCAAAACATCCCATTGAATCATAACCATAGACACTTTGATGATATGTATTGTTCATTTCTAAATCTTCGTGTGTAGATCATCTATGTAAAAAAAAATAAAATTAATCTAGCAATTATAACAATATAATCGTATCATAATTTTTTTCAAAAAAAAAAAAGAAAAGAAGAAGAAGAAGAAGAAAAAAACATGGTGTAGGGAGCCCAAAATGAACAGTAATAATAATATTATTTAGAGATGCAAAGATATGTTAATAGGTCAATAATTTGGAAAGGTGGGAGAGTGTGTAGCCGGGTGAGGGTGGAGCAAGTGGTCTACGAGAAGGAAATGTCAGTGCAATCAAAATGTGTATCGTATTCCCCTAATCCCCAAAACATTCTTTTTTCAACCTTGGGAATTGGACCTTATTTATAGGTTTTTCCTTGATACCAAAATATACCAAGTGGCCAAATAGTGCGATGACATGTGTCACAAGATATTTCATCCTGAACTACTAGGTCTTAGTAGACACGTATCCCTTGACATACACTGTTTGTTTGGTATAAAACCTTGGCGAGTGCTACTGTACTATCTATTTGGCACGAGCCTCGACATATACCTTTTTGGTACAAACCTCAGTAGGTGTCCTAGTTGCCATGGTACCTACTTTCCTAACTCGATTTCCCAAAACATGTACTCTCAGGACTTATGACCTGCTATTAGCCATACTGGTGTCTACCTCAATGACTCTTTTACCTTTAGTCACTTAACCACAAACTCCCTAATTTCCCAAGACACAGGTCACAACAAAGGTTATGCCTTGTACCAAACTCAATGGGGCTTTCTTGGTCCTGCTAATGCAACCAAGTCAAGTCCTTGACCTAGGTATATGGAAAGGGAGTCCCTTACTTTCGGGCTACCCTGTTCCCATCTTCACGAGGTCGTCGTGGTATATTGGTATTTTTGGTACTTGCAATCAACTCCAGCCAGTAAGCTTTGGGGCTGCTATTAGCGCCAAGCTATATGAGTTTCGGGCCTACTATTAGCCCTTGGCTATTAATGCTTTGGTGCCTACTATCAACCCCAAGTGTCTATACATTGTTTTGTATATATGGAGGAGGCCTATCTCGAAGGCTGTTGTGCCTCAGAAGGTAGTTGCAGAGGTTAGAATTGCTATGACTCCCTTTCCCTTAGCAAGTGACAACAAGTGACAAGGCGGCATCGTAATAAAAAATGGTGGCGCAGAGGTAGGGTCTCCCTCAGCAAGTGAAGCTCGGCAAGTAGTACCTCAGCAAGTTCCCTTGGTCACTTCTTGGTCTGGGCCATTTGGTCCGAATGGGTCAAATCTGGTTCGGTCTTCTGATTGGCCCATTTTTGAGTTTTGACCCCTATTCATTTAGTGATACTTATTCGCCTAATTGAGGCGACTTTAATAATTAAGTCAGTGTTTTAATTTCTCTCCTTCTGCGAAAGTGAATGTCATTTTCCTAACAGGAATGGAAAGCATATATACGACATGATTTTACCCACTACCATTATAAATAAAAGTAATAATAATGAGGACAACAATGATGAATGATGATGAACAGAAAGAAGGAAGGGTGTGTGTTTACCTAAATACCCACACTCGTAGTCCATTTGCCATTAACTCTTGGAGAAGGGGAATAATTGTTGATGGACTATCTTCCCAACGTCTGATGACTAGACTGCAATTATTTTGTTAAGTTTCATTTCAGCTAATAATTTCATACTCTTATTGGGCACAAGCAGAGATAGAGAGCCAAGCACATAGTAGTACATACCTGCATGGTTCCCAATCATAACTGAGTTTGGTTACATTGGCATGTAGGGCCTCTTGAACATCAGCACGATTCAAATAAGCATACACATAATGATCACTGCATGGATCAAAATTCAACACCTGCAACAAATATTCACCCTTAGAGGTCTATGAAATATGGATAAAGGATATGATAAGATAGGAATACTATAACCTTTAAAGAAAAAAAGAGAAAATCACCCTTTGTTGTAATTTGAAAAAATTATTACATATGGATTGAAAAGTTTATAATTTTAGTTATTAATATTGATAAAGTTTATCATCAATTTGTAATTAGTTTTCAAATTTTATCCTTATTTGAAATTTCTCCTAAAAAAATGTTAATTAATAAAAGGTTTGAACTTATGGAGTCATATATTATTTGGTCTAAGGTTTAATATTTTTTGGTGATAAAACACGCGCTGAAATGTTGTCAAAAAAAGTAGTCAGCGTTGGAAAAGTTGCAAGCGGTTGGCAATAGTGGCCGGTTGCTGCAGCTAGTGGCGGTGAGATAGACAAATAGGTGAATAGATAAATGATACATGTACAAACATGTGGCATTTGGATATATATGTGACACATGTACAGATAGATGACATTTGGATATACGACAAATGGGTATCCTTTTGGATAGATCAATGTCCTTTGGAGCTAAAAAGATTTAAGCTTGGACCAATAGGCATAAAAATTACAGAAATAAACGTTTGGCTTGAGTACTATTAAAAAAATAAGATATCAATATGGTTAAGATATGTTCCTAAAATATTTGTTTATATAATTTTTAGTATTATATTATATAGAGTTAATTACACTTAGCAGCTTTATACTTTCAACAAAATCTCATTTTGGTCATTTCAATTTCTTTGTGATAATCAACTTTTTACATTTTAAGTTGAGTTGAAATGTTACTTGTCCATCCATCTATCATTAAGGAGATTGAGAAAAAAATAAAAATAAAAATCACCAAAGTAATATTTTGATGAAAGTGTAAGAATTTAAATGATAAAAGTATAAAAGTATTAATGAGTCGAGAAAAATATCACTTATAACTCACATAATAAGTGCCATAAGCCTTACTAACATTAAATGAAAGAAAAAGTAAGATTACACTTTTATTCAATTTAAAATATAAAAGATTGAACTTTATAATTAAAAATGTAAGGGTACAAAATATAGCGAACCCTAGTGTATATAAGCTCAGAAGAAAGGTAGATTTTAAAAATTGGATTGTTTCAAAAATATTTTCTTCTGAAAAATAGTTTTCGACAACAAGCTCTTGGTAAACCAAAGAAAAGGACACCAAACAGACACAACTTCTGTTGCGCAAATGAATTTGTTTTTGGGTTTGGTGTGTACATTTTGAGAAGATTATCTATATAAAAATAAATAAATAGGTTAAAAAAATATTCATAATTACATGTTCAGATCATGTGTCTTATAAAATTGAACGGCAATTATAGTTTTCAAAATAAATAGTTTAGTATTTTTTCTAAGATAAATGTATTTCAATTATTTGATTATAAATGTTCGATTAATCTTTTTTTTTATTATTTTTTTTATACATGAATGCTCTTCTCAGTAAATTCAAAATTAACCTTCAAAATAGGTCCACCAAAGCCCAATTTTACCTCTTCAACTAGATCACCAATGGTAGGGGAGCTAAACCACCTTAATTTATCAAGCGTCATGTGGTTTCACAACGATGTTCTATATTCTTAATGAAAGTTATCACAATTCGAAGAAAAATTTGTAAGAAAATACATAAAGCCAAAAGGGTTGTGGGTTGAAGTATTATGATCAAAAATAATAATTGTAAAGAGTAATGCTAAGTTTACCATAATGCTCCGTTTGTTTGATAGAAAACACTTTTCAGAAAATACTTTTTGTACTTTTTAGCGTTTGATACGACGGAAAATAAAAGTCAACATAAATTTTTTTTTTTTATGGTTAATAAAAAAACAAGTCTATTTGATCAGAAAATATTTTCTACCTTTAAAAAGCAGAAAACGTTTTCTGAATCAAATTTTTATAAATGCCACCACATTACCACTATTACTATCACCAACACACCACCACCGCCATTACCACCGTCGCCGTTGCCGCCACCTCCACTGCCCTAAACCCATTGCCACTGAGTGCCGGCTTTTGGCACAAGCGGAAGAAGTGGCCGCTTTGGGCCCCCGCAAATTGGTTGGAAAAAAGACTACAAAAAAATTAAAAAAAATATCAAATAAATCTTATTTTTTTTGTTATACTTGTTCATAAAAAAGAAACCCTAAAAAAAAGTACTGATATTTAAAACTAATTGATGGTTATTTTCCAAATGTATGTATTATTTATAGAATATTATTGATTTTAGTTATTACTTACAATTGTTTATGAGAAAAAGAAATGTTTCAAATTGAAAGTTGATTAAATCATACATTCAGTGAACTATGTTACAAGAAAAGATTGAATGAGTTTGATTGATAAATTGGCTAAAACAAGCTTGATTAGTAATTTTGCTATTAAAAATGCAAAGTTCAAAATTTTTAAATAAAATTTGAATTACCAACTAATCTGATTTACCACAAATGATTAAAAAAATCAATCCATATGTGTGTGTATAAGAGCCCTCATATTAGAAGCATGCTTTGTGCCTCAAAAAAAAGCAAAGCCGGCGCTGCCGCCACTATAACCTTCACCACATTACTATCACCACCACCACTACCACCACCACATCACTACTGCTGCACAACTATCGCCGCCACCACCCTAACACCTTCACTGCCACTTCTACCTTGTCGTTGCCACCGCTACCGCCACTAATGCAACCATTAGTACATTAGTTTCAAAAATACAACTAAACATAAAAAAATATTTTCTAAAATTGTTTTTATGAAAAAAAATTCAAATTTTTTTTTTAAAAAAAAATTTCTACCGAAATAACGGAGTGTAAAATAAAATGCCATTGAGTATTCTTTTTTTGAACAACATCGAGTATTCTTTTTTGATCAACAACATCGAGTATTCTTGTAACATTAAAATTGAATAGTAAAATGTATAGGGGAGAGAGAGAGAGAGAGAGAGACTCACAGAAGCCTTTTTGGGAAATGGAGTGATATTGAAAGAGGTGCATAAAGGAGCATAGATGTTATAGATATCAATATTGGCAATATCTTTGACAGCTTCAGTAGTTGCAGTATCGCATTCATTGGACTGAGTGGTGGCATTGGGTGAGAAATCACAGTATTTCCGGATTTCATATGAAGTTTGGTCGGAAATGAGAGCATGGCTTGCAAAGTAATCCACCAGTCCTTTCGTATCTGTCTCATCATTTATTATTGCATTCCCAATCTGCACTTCGTACATTACACACAACACCAATCACCAACCTACTAGTACTTTTTTTTTTAATTTTTTATTTTATTTTTATTCACAAGGAAAAATTTCATTTAACAGTATGAAATTAAAAGTACAAATAAATGATATGCATCGAGAGAGATTCAGAAAGTATAACAATACCCTACTACTACTACTCGCAACCATACAACCAATCCCTTGGTTTTTTTTTTTTTTTTTTTTTAAGTTAAGAAGAACTTAACTAAAAATAAAATACAAGACCCCAAATCTCGATTTTTCCAACACCCAAGCAGCCCATACCACCCAAACTAATCTATTCAATCAACCCACAACGCCTAGTTTGCTGCCCATGCCTTCCCTAAGCTTCTGCAATACACCAACCACTCCACACCTACGCCTAGTCTGCTACCCACGCCTCCCCTTAGCTTCTGCAATACACTAACCACGCCAGAGCTGCTGCCCACACCAACCACTCCACACCTATGCTACTAATCCGGCCTAGAAGACTCCACAGCCAACACCGGAAACCTCCCCTGCTGAAGAAGACTCCACAGCCAACACCGGAAAACTCCCCTGCTACAACTCCCCTGCTGAAGACACCCACTGCAGCTCCAACTCCCCGGCATTTCCACCCACTGCAGATCAACACGCCTATGTTGCTGCCCACTCCACACCTCTGCCGAAGACAACCACTGCAGCTCCAGCTCCCCTGCATTTCCACCCACTGCAGTTCATCACCCACTGCCACCGCTGACTCACCCCTATATCATCTCCCAACAGTTCTTCTAACTCATTGCCACCGCTATAATACTCACATATCATCACCCAAAATTATTACCCACTGCAGCTCTTCTTCACCCCTCAAACTCTCACTTGGAGAGGAGTGCACGAATGAAAATCAAACAGATCTGGAACGCCTATGACACCCATGTTTCCGCCCGAACAAAGCATCGATACTTCTTCACCAAATCTGAACCAGTGTTCATCCCTCAAGCTCCTACTCGCAGAAGAGCGCTCGAATGAAGATCCTGGACGCCCCTTGATAAAGCAGCTAAACCGGGCCCCGAATCACCAAAAAAGAAACTTCTACCGCAGTAACGCAAACACACCTAGGAGGGGAAAATGGGGGAATCAAGTTTATTGAAGGAAATAACTAACAAACAAACACCGGAAAGAGCTAGGCCAGCCGACCACCATAGCCAAAGGCGGTGGCCGGCCGGCCCCAAAAGAGGCCTGGAACGGAGGTTTTTAGAGAGTGAGAGAGAGAGAGTTTTAGAGACCAACCTACTACTACTTTATGTACAATTACACTAATATGCTAATTTTATCATGCAAATTCCAATTCATCATCCCATCAATTTCATCAGTTTTTCATTTCTTATATTCGGATTTAAGATTTGAGGATGAATTTGTATAGGGAAATATTGGTCACTTTTTTTTGTTTTTTTTTTTCCTTCTAATTTTTCTTTTTCTTTTTATCCACAAACTTTTTTTTCAAATCTTAAATCAAAATATAACTATGTAGACCAGTTTTTCTTATTGATTTTATTGATTTTGGTTTTACTGAATCTACACGTAAAAATAGCATTTGTTGATTAGATTCATATGAAAAGTGATCCCAAAAAAGGGGGTAAAATTTGTGTTATGATATATAACAGCTTTCTATCATGATCTATGATATGTAGTTTTTTTTTATTTATTTATTTTTTTTAATATAATTACACTTGCTAAAAAAATAATGCTACATCCTTAAAAATATTTCAACAATTGTCATAATATTAAATTAGTAAATTACACTGATCTCCCCTAATGTTATGAAAAAATACAATAAGCACTAGAGGTTGGCATAGTAATTGTATTGAGCTCTTTTAAGGTTTTAATTCACAAAAAAATAAAAAATAAAAAATAAAAAAAAAAGAAGGTTTTAATTCAAAAAACACTTAATTTTTGATAAGGAAGAGGTCCAAGAGGTTCATTCAGTGTAATCATTCAGTGTAATGTGCTGTTCATCAAGTGTCATGTGCTGCAGCTGTAGACAACATTCTTTAACAGATTGTAACTGATTTAGTTAGATTGTAACAGCTTTAGTTAATTACTTAGTTACATGATGTGTAGTTAGTTAGAAGTGTGGTTAGGTTAATTAGTTTGTTAGTTTGTTACCTGTACTGGTATATAAATATGACTTGTAATCTGTTATAATATTCAATGAAGATATCTTAGATTTTACTTTACCTTTCGTCATGGTATTAGAGCACCAAGAAGCTCTCGCGAGCAATTCTCAAGCTTCATCTATGGAGTCCTCTGCTATTCCTTCCAATCTCAATCTACTGCTATCGAATCTCAGTTCTCTTGTAACAGTGAAGCTGGATGGCTCGAATTTTGTTATTTGGAAGAATCAAATACAGAATCTGCTTCGAGCAACAGATCTACTCGCCATTGTTGATGGCTCAAAGAAGTGTCCTGTTGACACAATACGACAGTCTGCCGGAATGGAAATTCAAAATCCAGAAGCTGTTAGATGGAAGATGATTGATGCGCATCTACTCAGCTGCATCACTGCTACTCTCTCTCCTGCGATTTTTACTTCTATGTTACATCTTCACACCAGTGCTCAGGTCTGGCAATTTCTTGATAAACGCTTTACCTCTCTCTCTAGGTCTTATATCCACCAGTTAAAGAACAAATTGAGTTCTATTTCAAAGGAATCAGATTCAATGAAAGTGTATTTGAGCAAAATCAAAAGTATTGTTGATCAGTTAAGTGTTGCTTCGTCATTTGTGGAAGATGAGGATATTGTTCTTCTTACATTGAATGGATTGCCTTCTGAATATGATGCAGTTAAAGTAGCTATTCGAACTCATGTAGAGTCCATTTCTATGGAGGATCTCTCTGCTTTACTTTGTTCAGAAGCTATTCACATTGAAGGAAAATTAAAACACAGTTCTGATCTAACTGTTGCTTATGCAACTATGACAGACACTCATGCTGCTTCTAATATTTCTAGAGGATTTAACTCTTATCATCGTAACAGAGGGTCTTCTCGTGGTGATTCTAGAGGTTCTCATAGAGGCACTCGATTCTATTCAGGAAGATCCTCTCGTGGCAGATCTCAAGAAAGAGGACAATTTGGCATTGTGTGCCAAATCTGTGGTAAAGCTAATCACATAGCTCTTGACTGTTGGCATAGGCTAGTTACTCAATTTCAGTCTTCACAAGTGTCTCCATCCCAGCAATCAAAGCCATATCAGTCTCACTCTCAGCCATACCAATCTCAGCAATCAAAGGCATATGTTTCCTCTTTAACTGAGGACAATGGTTCTTGTTCTCCCTGGTTTTTGGACTCAGCTGCTTCTGATCATATCACTAATGATCTTCATCAACTTAACTCCATTCAACCCTACACTGCTGGTAATCAAGTCACTATTGGTAATGGCTCTTCCCTTCCTATCACTCATACAAGTCAAGGTATACTACCTACTCTTCACCATTCTTTTAAACTAAACAAAGTTTTGCATGTACCTTCTATTAACTCTAATCTTGTCTCTGTGCATCACTTGGCTAAAGATAATAATTGTTCTATCACATTTGATCATTCTTCTTTTACTATTCAGGACAAGCTTTCCAAGGCCATACTCCATAAAAGTTTTTATGCCAATGGACTATATCAATTCCACACTCCAACCACTGCTTCCTCACATGCCTACAGTAGTTCAGTTACTTCTACTGATTCTACTGACATTTGGCATCAGAGATTAGGCCATCCTTCTACTCTTAAGTTTCATTTGCTTAAGAACAAATTACCTTTGTCTGTAGCTTCCAATAAAAGTACCTTTTCTTGTGTACATTGCTCTGTAGCCAAATGTCATAGGCTACCTTTTACATTGTCTAATTCCACTGTAAATAATCCACTAGCTTTGATTCACAGTGATGTATGGGGTCCCTTTAATAAATCTGTTTCTCCTTACAAATACTATGTGTTGTTCATTGATGATTTTACCAGATTCACTTGGCTTTATCCTCTTGTTTATAAAAGTGAAGTGTGTGCCAAATTTATGGAATTCAAAGCTTTTGTGGAAAAACAGTTTGGTTTTCCTCTCAAAATTCTTCGTAGTGATGGAGGTGGTGAATACAAGAATCATCCTCTTCAACATTATCTTCACACTCATGGCATTCACCATCAGTTTTCCTGTCCACATACTCCCTCTCAAAATGTTGTGGCTGAGATGAAGCACTTATATCTCACTGAAACTGCTATTTCTCTTCTTCATCAGTCCTCTATGCCTCTTCTTTATTGGTTTGATGCCATCGCTGCTGCCACATATTTGATCAATCGTTTACCTAGTGTTTCTCTTAATAATTGCTCTCCTTTTGAGTTGTTGTATCATACTTCTCCTTATTAGTCTCTACTAAAAGTCTTTGGTTGTCTTTGCTTCCCCTGGCTTAAACCTTATGCTTCTCATAAGGTGGCACCTAAGTCGACTCCTTGTGTTTTTGTAGGTTATCATCCTAGTGTTAAGGGCTATAGATGTTTAGATCCTCAGACTGGTCACATTCATTTATCTAGACATGTTACTTTTCATGAACATGAGTTTCCTTTTTCCTCTTCTACTTCTGTTTCTTCTGCTTCTTCTCTTCCTCTTTTACAGGATTTCTTTTGGTCACCCTCTCCTCAACATAGTTATTCTCAGTCTGCTCTGGCTTCAAAGTCTAGTGTTCAGCCTATATCTACACAGCCACAGTCTACATCTGCCCAGGCTCAGTTCTCTTCCCAGCCAGCATCTCCATTTGTCCAACCACAGTCCTCTTCACAACCCCAGTCTTCTGATTTGGCACCTACTACCCAGTTTGCACAGCCTTCCTCTGCCTTATCTCCTTCTGATCCTTCACCTCCATCTATTCCTACTAATTCTATTTCTGTTGTTTTACCTCTTCCTCCTCCTGCTGCTATCAATTCTCATCATATGCAAACCCGATCCAAATCTCATTCTACTTGTTTCTCTTCTACTCTCACTTCTCCTGCTGGCTCCTCTCCTTCTCCTGATATTGAGCCCCTCTCTTATCAATCTGCTCTTG